AAATTCGCCGTAATTTCTTTTGGCCGGGGATGGTAAAAGACGTCCGACATTACGTCAAAAACTGCGAAAAGTGCAAAACTTCAAAAGCTCCAAACTTCACCATGAAACCGCCAATGGCAAACCAAATAATTTCGTATCGCCCATTCCAGAGGCTTTACATTGATTTTTTGGGTCCCTATCCCAGAAGTAAAACGGGGTATATAGGCCTTTTTATTGCACTTGACCATTTCAGCAAGTTTCACTGGTTGTGCAAACTCAGAGCTTTCAAGTCCAAATATATTATTGAATTCTTAGAGAGCCAGTTATTTCATATATCATAATGGGACTCAATTCCGTGCGAATGATTTTAATGCTTTCTTGACGTCGTATGGGGTCAAAAACGTTTATGCGGCTTTATATTCACCTCAAAGCAACGCTTCTGAAAAGGTAAATCGCTCCCTTCTGGCCGGAATTAGAGCATATATCAAAAAAGACCACCAACATTGAGATGAATCCATAAGTGCCATTAGCTGTGCTTTAAGAAATTCATACCATGAAACAACTCGCACATCCCCATATCACGCTTTATATGGTATCGATATGGCAACCCACGGTTCCACTTATCCGTTACTCCAAAATTTACAACTTTTGGACGAACCAAATTTTCATTTAACTAAGGATGATACCTTATATCTTAAACACTTAGACATCAAAAAATATATTCAGGAAGCCCATAGGCGAAACACTCATCAGTACAACTTGCGTTCAAAACCACAAAATTTTCAAACAGGTCAGGAAGTATTTCGACGAAATTTTGCTCAGAGCTCCGCCGAGAAGCGGTTTAACGCTAAGTTATCCCCTATGTTCATAAAGGCTAGAGTTCGAGAAAAAGTAGGAGATAATTATTACCTCTTGGAGGATCTACAAGGTAAAGTGGATGGAACTTATCACAGTAAATATATTCGACCATAGAACCCTCATCTTACTCCCTTTTTCCTGCTAATTGTACGTACCATAAGTACATAATTATACGGTTTTGTAATGGTCGTTTTTTCTAAACTAAACTTCTTTGATTTTTTTTTTATTATTCATAATTCTAGTACTTTTCTTGTCATCCACCTTCGATTTAAATAATTTGTATAATTCTTTTGAATTTTAACGATCTTGCTAGTTGTTATAGTTGGCAACAAATGTAATGTTGGGTTAAACATATACCGTAGATAATCAATGACAGTGGAAAGCTTAAATCAGATGATGACGATTATATGATACTCAGATGAACTCAACAGAGATTTAGTTTATGTACAAAAGAACTGAGAACATCCTTTTTCTTTCAACCTCTGAGGAGCTAACATCCAAATTTTCAATTCCTTTTCAAGTACACGGAAAAATCTTTAATAATCCTAAACATCATTTATATCCTAAAATATAATAGATCACACAGAGTGAACCATATTGTGATCGCAACTCAATTTTAACAATATTTCTTAGAAATATATGTAAGTATTTCCTTCATATAATAAGTGCAAAAAGTGATTTAGTGAGTATTTATCATAGAAAACCTTGTTCAACGACATAACTGGCTTTTTTCGGAAAGTTGTGGGACTTGGGCCAAGGGAAAGCGAAATATCAAGCAGTTCTCGGTACCAACCACATAACCTTATTCAGCCAGAAAAAATTTTGATATTGGAACTTCAACCTCAACCACCCTTATTTTGATGATATTTTAAAACTGGTAATGCTAAAATTACACCCTTTTGGATAGTCTGCCCAGCAACAGCAAATGCAGCTCATACCTAACCAGTTGTCATCAGAATCATTAACGTGGGTCAGTTTGGTGCAGAAAAAAAAAAAACAACAACAACAAAAAGAGATCGATTCATCAATAATTCGTCTGCCGTCAATTCAAAGTCAGCGACAACCACACTCCTCTGCAAAACTGTGTACAAAAAGTACTTCAACAGGTCGTCTGACGACAAAAACAACAAAGGTCATAAAATACACTTGCTACCCAAGTTCCTCTTCGACTGCCTAGCAACAACAATATTATTTGCATTGTAAGAGACCAGCACAAAGATCGTCATTACAAACAGAGTGATCATCGATTCAAATCAAATCTTCATCATATCGCTACAGATCACTGTTTCTTCAAACCAAGCAAATATTAATAATATTAAGAAGCAACGTGCTTCATTTGCGCAACCCAATGGCTTAGATTACCTCAAATACGTTTTAATCCTAACAACTAACGAAATATATTAAAATTCAGTTAATTTGTTCCATCATCATTTAACCACATATTTGCCAAGAAATCATAATTCCACTAATTCTACCATCATCTCCAGCTGAAAAGGGCCCTCTTCACGCCGATGGATCAACATTAATTTGGTGAGTTATTGTACTTTACTTATGCTTTGGTTTTTTATGTGATTTAATGATGATAGTTGTGTAAAGATAATTTGCAACACATTTCTGATTTGTTTCGTTGGAAATTCTAATGAATAATTCAACAGATTTTCTATTTTAAGTTATTAGATTGTTAATTTGGGACAATATTCTTTTTGCTACTTTTTTTGCCAAAAATCCTAAAAATGTAAACAAATCAGAAAAGCACTAAGCAAAATCTAGATATTAATTTTTTTATAATATATATAAAAAAAACTATAACCTTTGTTTATTACATTAGTATGTATATGTTAATTCTTGAGAATGAATAAGGAGTAATACTCCAATTTCGTTAGCAAATAACATGATTTTTTTTTAATAAATACTTTTATATTAGTTGTTAGAATAATGTACTCTGAGTAGTCTTTTTTTATGGGTGTTTCTTTTCGCTCCGGCCATGGTAGGATGATAATGTAATAACTTTTTAACGAATCTAAATTAGGGGTTCTTTATTTTATATTGCCTGAAGAACCAATGGCAGGGAGGGTTAAGAGGCAAGGTTCCCAAAATCACCTCGGGAATCATTCACAAAATAGGCAGTTTAGAAGGATTTTTTTTTAAGAAGAAAAGGTTAGCAATAACGGGGAATTTGTTATTTTATTATGGCCAATATCATAGATTTTTTTGTATATAAAAACAGGAGTCTACATAATATTCTATTGTGTCGTACCCACAGTTATTCCTCTTGGAAAGGACCCGAACCTCCCCAACCACTGCTTGCTAGCCCTATTAATGGCTCCTACGTCCTTATTCAATGGAGATTTTTAGTCGAACTTCTTAGGATTAATAATCGAGAATAGTTGGTACGTTACAGGTAGAGCATGCTCGCCAACATATTTAGAATCTTCTTGGCTCCCATAAATTTATGTGTGTAAAAAGAAGAAATTATATAATTTTCCTGTGTTACCCGGCATAATTTCCTTTTACCAAATGATGACACGTATGCACCTACTATGAACCAGGTATTACCAAGTTTGCCCCAACTCGAAAGAAGTTCCACTGTAACCCTTGGAGAGGTGAGGCCGAAGGAATAAGGCAAATATTTATGGAATACTTTAATAATGAGGGGAGCCTTAATTGGATTTAATTAATTGTTTATCATTAAAACATATTTTATCTACATTCTTTCAGTTATAGATTTTAATTAAATATAAATAACTGTTAGTTTGTAACTATTAATTAATATATAAAATAAAAACTTATTAAAAACTCGAAGTCATTTGTTTAAGACAATAATGTGCCGATCGGCGGCTACATGATAACCAAATAACATTTAGCGTGTTAAATGGAAGACACATTGCACATACGTAGGATTTATTTGATGGAGCGACTCTTGACCTTTCCATTAATACCATATTTGTCGATGTGGTCAGATCAGCATTATAGCCTAGTATATACACAGTTTTTCAATCAAACTTTTATAGTTTATTATTGACAACATTGCCCACGAGTTTGAAGTTTATGCAAAGGAAGAGGCAAATTTTTTAGTTACCAGTACCCAATCACAATCTATTGATCATAAGACATGAATAGTACATGTTCATAAAAGATGCTAGTTTTTTGCGCAACAGTGTTGTTTGTTACATTACCGGTGGCTGCATAAATAACATCATAAAAATGATGTACATATACACACACACATGCACATATATGCAGCCACCGGTAAATTCCAATGCTGAATTCAAATAAATAAGCATCGTCACCAGCCAAAACAGGTTTGCTGTGACGATGCAAATTGGAGTTAGATCAGTTCTGTCTCGAATTTAAAAGCGCGTACGCAAGGTTCCCCCCCGAAGTGAACAGTGCCCAAAAACAGAAAAAAAACAAAGTGTCAACAAAAAAAAAACATCATACTAAAAACATAAAACATTGTACAAAAAACATAAAACATTGTACAAAAAAAAGTAAAAATTAATTGAACAAAAAAAAACCTAAAACTAGAACAAAAAAGTGTGAACGAAACAAATTGAATTTTAAACATTGAAATAAAACAATACAAAAAAAAAACAAAAATAAAACAACATCTTTTAATTAAAGAAAACATAAAAAAGGTGAAATAAAAAACATTTGGTCCTCCAGAGCCGGATCATAAGGTGAAGTTTTTAGAATATTAAAAACAAAAAAAACAAAGTATTAAGTGGACAGACACAGTGAAGTGAAACAAAAACAAAAGTGCATAATAACATATAAATAAATAAATTAACAAAAAGTGACGTTTAAAAAAGTGCAACGAAAAGAAAAAGTGCTACAAAAAAAAATAGAAAGTACACTGTGCTACAAAAAAGTGACATTAAACAAACAAATATATATTTTTACAAATTTACTACAAAAAAGGGACAACACACAGTGCTACAAAACAAACAGAAAATACACAGTGCTACAAAAGTGACATTAAAAAGTGATACAAAGTGACATTACACGGTGCTACAGAACTAAAAGAAATTACACAGTGCTACAAAAATAAACAAAAATTAATTAAATTTTTTATTTTTTTGGCAAAAAAAAGTCTACACAAAAGACAAAATACAAAAATAAAAAGTGTAACAAAAAGTGACAGTACACAATATCACAAAAAAACCAAACAAAATCAAGAAGTACGCAAAATTGTGGAAGATGCCAGAAGACCACGAAGGACTCCGGCAACACAACAACAATAGTAACAACAACAACAAGAACAACACTACAATAACGAATTTTTTTTGAGACCCAAAGGCCAAATCAAAGTGAGTACTCAATCAAATTTATCTTGTTAAACATAAAGGGCATACCGGGAGCAGGCAAATCCTCAATATTTGCATTGACCCGAAGATTCCCATACTTTGAAATCTCAAGTTGACACTTTTTAAAGTTGCTGCGTTGCCTCTAAGACACTTTTTTGAGAAAATTTCCCTTTTTGGAGCCACTTTGTGGACGGACATCTAAATATAGACTCACATAGGCGCAATAAGTACTTATAAAATAGCGCGAATTTTCATACACATAAATACATAATATTGGAATTTGCTGAACGTGCAGTTCAAAAAATAAATAAGTGCCATATTAAAAAAAAAAACATTCTTATTGGAAAATTGGCGTCACTTGACACACATATAAACGCCATATTGGAAAAAACATTCTTATTGGAAAATTGGCGTCGCTTGACACACATATAAACGCCATATTGGAAAAAAATCTAGCGTCACATAAAAATATATAATCGCCATATTTTTAACATTTTTGGCGTCACAAAAATACATAAGCGAAATACATAGCAACCGTTTGGTGGACAGACGGATTTTGCAAATAATAGCGTCTAGTGGACGGACATGAAACAATACTTAACCTAGAATTTTTTTCGGGATTTTTGAAAAAAATTAGATTGGCGTCTGTGGACAGACAAAAGAGAAAAAAATCGATTCCATATATAATATAACACATTTTATTATATTTTACAAATCTCTTAACATTTTTAAATCAAGAAAAACATTTCTGGGACCCAAAATTTATTTCTGGATTTTTTCCCAGAAATATTTTGCTGGTATTTTTTTTGCTTTTTGCTAAAACAAACATTTTGAAAGAATTTGCTGAACGAAAAAAGTTACTTTTTGGAAACTTTTGTGGAAATTTTAATTGGAGTTTGACACAACAAACATTTTGCTGGGATATACAAATTTTTTGGAAAATTTTGCAAATTATTGGAATTTTTCTGGAGAAAAAAATTTTGTGGAACTTGACCCAATACTAGCACCTTGTGATTTTAAATTAATTACCTAGCGTTTTTAGAAAATTTGTTGCTTCAACCAAAATTTCATAGCAATATTTTTGGCTCGTCAAAATTTAAAATTCCTCCTGCAATTTTATGGTAATATTTTTGAGGATTCTTTGTTCGACAACCCAGCACACATTTTTATTTCAATAGAAAATATTTTTCCTTTTGGAAATATTTATTGAAAATTTTCATTTTCTACAATTTTACTGCTGGGAAAAAACCCTCGTTGGTGGAAAATCAAAAATCTTTTGGTCGTTTTTGTAGCGTTTTTTGCCTGTACAATCCTCACCTTTACTCTTTTTGGAATAATATTGATTATTTCTGGATTTTCTTAAAATAAAATATCCCTGTGAGTGGATTTCAAGATATTTTATGACACCTTGGTATATCTTGATTGAGTTTGACTTCTCTGGACAACCCAGCAAACATTTTTAAACAAAATTATTTCGGCGTCTCATACAAAGTAAAGTTTCTGGGATTTTGCAAGAACTTTCAAGTCTTTGGAACAAAACGAAATATAATTCGACCCAAACCAAAAATTGTACATAGATTTCGTTGATCAAATTGAAGAAGATAGCTTATCCTTATTTTTTAAAAATATAAATTTGGATAAAAGTTTGAATCTTATTCCAAGTCAATCCTTTTCATTGGGTTGCCTTTCCTTTTTGCAACACAACAAAATTTCGGTAAAGGTTAATACTCAGTCATCAAGATGGATAAGACCCTAAGCGAAAAATTCGCAAACTGCGTCAACGATCTTCAGGATTATATTTCAATTTTTTCAATAACCAAACCGGATGACACGGTTCATACTTTGGAGACAACACGCATGGAGTTGGATTCTGCATGGGACCAGCTCAAAAGGGCATATTTAGACTGCCGTGATTATGTTCCGGAGGAAAAACCATCGACAAAAATAAACTGAGGAAACATTATTTGGATACCATGGGATCATATAAACAGGCGCTGATAAATGGACAATTCAATGTTCAATAAATGGACAAATTCAAAATATTTTGGATGAAAAGGCACAGGAGAAAATGAAAAGAGATTCAGAGATGTCACAGCAAGGAAAGGAAGTGGATTTTACGCCAATATCACGGCTGCCGCCATGCGACACAGACACCTTTAAAGGGGGTTATCGAGAATGGCCGACTTTCAGAGATTTATTTTCGGCAATTTACATAAACAATTCAAAATTAAGTAATGTCGAAAAGTTATTCCATTTGACTCAAAAGACAGCAGGAGAAGCACGAGAAATTATAACGCATGTTCCCCTAACTAATGATGGATTTGCACTAGCGTGGAAAAATCTTACGGATCGTTATGAGAACAAAAGGATGCAAATTAATGAAGAAATTAAAACACTTTTTAATCTACCTGGTGTTTCTACAGAGTCAAGTCACACTATTCAAAAACTACAACGCACTGTAAATAGCTGTATTCAAACTTTGGGGATGCTTGACGTCGATGTAAAAGGATGGGATCCGATTTTAATATACATTTGCTCAACAAAATTACCTAGAGGCTTTTTAGAAGAATTCGAGAACTCATTAAGCGATTGTAAACAAATACCAAAATGGGAACATTTTGACGATTTCTTAACAAACAAATTCAAAACCTTGGAATCAGTAGGGAATATAAAACCCTCAACATCAAAATTTGCTCAACAGAAGCAAAATAGCATCAATAAACCTAGATTTTTGAAAACATTTCAAACAAATGTCGCAAAAAATACAACCAATTTTGGAGGAAGAAACAACTTAGCACAACCTCAATAAAAAAAATTACAAAATACTCAAACATGTCAAGTCTGCAAATCAAATCATTTTATCAGGGATTGCAGCGAATTTTTAAAAAAGAGTGTAAATGACAGAATTCACACTGTGAAAACGTCACACTTATGCTATAACTGCTTGTCTTCAAACCACGGAGTAAAAGATTGCAAAAGTCGCTTTGGTTGTCGTATCTGTACTATGAGACATAATACTTTGTTACACAAGGGGTCGGAAACCCGAACCACAAACACATACCTAGCTCGAGTGGAAGCACAACCTAGTACCAGTGCGGCTGCTCTTTCAAATCACATACAGTCCACTACCAACCTAGAACCAACTACTATTACCACTTTGACCCTCCAAGATGAGCGAATTAGTGAACAACAATCTGGAGGAACTCTACTTTTCACAGCAATAGTACAAATTGAAACCAAAGGACAACTATACGATGCCCGAGCTCTAATAGATTCAGGATCACAATCCACTTTTATTTCTGAGAAGATGAAAAACCTCTTGAAATTACCCACAAGGAACAATCTAGTTCATTTCACCGGCCTTAGTCAATTTGTTGCCGAAACATCTACGAAATCTTGCTTGTTTACTATGAGGTCCAAATACGACCGTAGCTTTAAACTGGAAGTATGGGCTCCAGTTCTAAATAATTTACCTTCAAATTTACCACCACAAAACTTAGATGAATCACAACTTCGAGATGTAACCTCATTAGAACTGGCTGACCCGAAATTTTACTTTAGTCAACCCATTGATTTACTTATTGGAATGGACATAGGACCATTAATATTCACACTTGGAACTCCGATGAGAACATTTGGATCAATTTTAACTCAAAAAACCAAATTTGGATGGATAGTTGGAGGACCCATACCGGGAAGCACTCTTCAACGAAAACAAATATCACTTCTAAATACAACATCAATAGAGAAAGTACTTACACGATTTTGGGAGGTGGAAGAGACCCCTAAAAAAGTTTTACGGTCAGAAGAAGACCAATTTTGTGAACAAAATTTTACTGAAACAACAATACGAAACAAGGATGGAAGATATGTGGTGACTCTCCCATTCAAAAAATGCGAAGAATTAGGAAATTCCCGAAACATTGCCTTAGCTCAATTCTACAGAATGGAGAAAAAACTTATGAAAACGCCCGAGATAAAAGAACAATATGATGCCTCAATACTTGAATATTTAGAACTTGGTCATATGCGGAGGATCAATCCGGATGAAAGAGACGAAATGCCCAATTATTATGTACCACATCATGCAGTAATTAAGCCAGATCGAATCACGACAAAGTTAAGAGTCGTCTTCAATGCTTCTTGTCCATCATCAAACAAAACAAGTCTCAATGACATATTGTTTCCGGGACCCATTTTACAACAAGATTTGGTACTACAAATTCTAAAATGGAGATTTTTTAAGTATGCTTTTAACGCCGATATTACTAAAATGTATAGGCAAATACTGTTGGATTCAACTCAAACAAAATATCAAAGAATTCTGTTTAGAAAATCGCCAACAGACCCAGTTGAAGACTATGAATTACTAACTGTAACATTTGGAGTAAATTGCGCACCGTTTCTGGCACTGAGAACTCTTATGAAATTGGCAGATGATGTTCAAGATTCGTATCCAATAGCTGCAAGAATTATAAGACAAAATCTTTATGTGGATGATGTACTTGCGGGTGGACACACAATTGAGGAGACTATAAAAGCTCGGAAGGACTTAGTAGCAGCGCTCGAATCCGCTGGATTTCAACTTATGAAATGGGCCTCAAATTATCATACAATAATAAAAGATATTCCACAAGAAAATTTATTGCCTCTTAACTGGTTGGATATCTCTGAAGATGCGTCCACGAAAACGTTGGGAATTCGATGGAATATATCAGGTGATTTTTTCACTTTTACACCTCCAACCGTGGAAAACAAAAACATTTACACAAAACGAGAAGTTTTATCAACTATAGCCAAATTGTTTGATCCATGCGGATGGCTAGCGCCAATAGTGGTGGTAGCAAAACTGATAATGCAACAAATTTGGCTGGATAAAATCGATTGGGATGATACACTGAAACCAATCACCCATATAAATTGGCAAAACTTTGTCAAAAATAGCAATGATATTAAATCTCTCAGAGTTCCAAGATGGATACAGTTTACACTAGATGCTTCTGTTGAGATTCATTGATTTTGTGACGCATCGGAGAGCGCGTATGGAGCAACGCTATATGTTCGGATTGAAAAAACTGACCATACCACACATACCTTTTTATTAGCAGCAAAGACTCGTGTAGCACCAATCAAAAAACTATCAATACCAAGGCTCGAATTATGTGGGGCAGTATTACTTTCCAAATTAGCAAAATCTATTACAAACAGTCTACAAATATCAAAATATTCAACACATTTTTGGACAGACTCTACTATCATCTTGGCCTGGTTAAAAAAGCCTCCTTGTCATTGGAGCACCTTTGTGGGAAATAGAGTCTCGGAAATATCTGATAATGTTGGGCAAGAAAACTGGAAACATGTTGACTCTGAAAGCAACCCAGCTGACATTGCTAGTCGTGGATGTTCTCCAACTGAACTAACGACTCATGAGCTCTGGTGGCATGGACCTCAATGGCTCAAAATGCCAAAAGATCGTTGGCCATCGCAAGATATCCCAAACGACACAAATTTAGAGGCTAAAGCTGTAAAAGTTCTGACTATATTTCAAGAAAGAGATGATCCATTAAAAAATTTCTCATCATTGGCAAAAGTCTACCGATCATACGCCTATGCTCTGCGATTTTGGAAAAATACTGGCGCAAATCGGCAAAATCTTCGCTCCTCATCAATAGATCTTACCGCAGCCGAAATCCAAGATGGAAAACGATCTTGCATAATTCGTACACAAAAATTCGTTTATGCAGATGAATATAATTCACTAATGAAAAAGTCTCCAATTTCTCCATCTAGCCCTCTATTGACGTTAAACCCGTTTCTCGACTCAAAGGGTATTATTCGAGCTAATGGCAGATTAGTTCAATCTCCAGCCCTTACATATAGCGAACGTCATCCCATAATACTACCACACGGAACTACCCTTAGCAAATTGTTGGTCGAATTCACTCATAAGATCACTTTACATGGTGGTAATCAATTGATGACCCGAGTGCTAAGATCCGAATTCTGGATATTTGGACTCAAATCTCTGGTTAAACAAACTATACGAAAATGTCGAATCTGCTTAATTCACAAGAAACAAACCCAAACTCAAATAATGGCCTCGCTGCCACCCGAACGTACTTTTCTGTCTCGACCCTACAAACACTGGGGTAGATTTCGCAGGACCCTTTAATATTAAAAGTTATTCAGGAAGGGCTTGCTTTATTACAAAAGGCTATGTTTGCCTGTTCGTCTGCTTCGCCACCAAGGCTATACATTTAGAACCAACTAGCGATTTATCTACATATGCCTTTCTCGCCGCTTTCTCCAGATTCATAAGTCGGCGAGGTTGTCCGTCTTGTATATTTTCCGACAAGGGACCAATTTTGTGGGAGCGGTCGATCTATTAAAGCGAGATCGATTAGCTTTCATGAAGGATATTCAAAGTACCACAATCCAAAACAATTTCAATCAAAATCTTACTTGGAAATCTTACCTGGCGCTCCGCACATGGGCGGTTTGTGGGAGGCCGGCGTTAAATCGTTTAAAATGCATTTGCGAAAAAGTGTTCCAAAAATGAATTTCACATTTGAAGAATTTACAACTATCTTAGCAAGAATTGAAGCCTGCCTTAATTCGCGACCCTTAAGTCCTGGTAGCGATGATCCAAATGACCTTTCCCCGTTAACTCCTGGTCATTTCTTAATTGGAACATCAATTCTTACTCCTGCTGAACCCGACATTTCCGACACAGATCTTAGTCTAGTAAATCGTTGGAGACGACTCAAAGTTATTTCACAATACTTTTGCAATAGGTGGAAATTAGAATATCTCCACGAACTTCACAGAAGAACTAAATGGAAGCGTGAAAAGGAGAATGTCAAAGAAGGAGATTTAGTAGTCATAAAGGACGATAGGTTGGCTCCAAATGAATGGAAGTTGGGTCGAATTGCAAAAACATATGTCGGTAGCGATCAGAATACGAGGGTTGTAGACATACGGACATCAAGTGGCAACATTAGCAGACCTATCACAAAAATTGTCAAATTGTTTTCCGACTGACTAGCCGGAATCCTACTTAAAAAAGAACATAGTACTCGCCTTTGGTTTTTTTTTCAGATATGGCTGCCTACTTGCCCAATCAAGACTGCCGTTTAGATGATCGCAGCCGCAGTCCCAACCAATCCGCACGTCCAACAGCGAGAAGTTCTAGCAGACCCAGACGCCCAACCGAACCCATTCCCAGCAGACCGGCTCATAGACACCGCAGACTTCCCAGTTCCACATCGCCAGAAAGACGTCAACGAAGCCGCTCCGCTGCAAGATCCCGCCAACGCCAAGAACGACCCAGCTATTGGCAGTATTCCTGTGGGTTGTGTCAGGAGGACCATGCCCTCAGTGCTTGCGAGAGGTTTCGCCACCAGACCCCCTTCCAGCGCTATGAGACTGTGGAGCGTAGGGGGTACTGCAGAAATTGCCTTGCCAGAAGTCATTTGGCCCCTGACTGTCCGTCGTTGACTGGTTGCAGGAGGTGCAACAATCGGCATCATACGCTGCTACACGGGGCGTCTCAGCTGGAGGAAGTATCTCTAAACGTGGAAGTTGTAACAACACCAAACTTTGCGTGGGATTTGGCAGCGATTTACCACCTTTACGGTTTCGCCCCGCCGCACAAACAGCCACTGGAGTCTTAGAGTCAATGCCTTGATAATCGAAGATTTGCCCAGGCGCATTTACTCGGACCCGATCCTCGAGGACCCCACAAGAAGTTTCAGAAATTGCGCCCTAGCCGACCCTGATCCCCGAGGCAACAATCCCGTCGATGTGGAACTGGGTGCTGACGTTTACTCAGCCATAAGAAAAGACGAGTGCAAGGAGGCTGGAATTGGAGATGTCCTGGCCTATGATACCCAGCTGGGTTACGTGTTTGCAGGTCCAATAAAAAATATGCCAAAAATATAAAGAACAATATTGTATTTCAAAGATGAATGTAAACACTTGTCATTCGGGGGCCAGAAATGTTCATAAAAGATGCTAGTTTTTTGCGCAACAGTGTTGTTTGTTACATTACCGGTGGCTGCATAAATAACATCATAAAAAAATGATGTACATATACACACACACATGCACATATATGCAGCCACCGGTAAATTCCAATGCTGAATTCAAATAAATAAGCATCGTCACCAGCCAAAACAGGTTTGCTGTGACGATGCAAATTGGAGGTAGATCAGTTCTGTCTCAAATTTAAAAGCGCATACGCAAGGTTCCCCCCCGAAGTGAACAGTGCCCAAAACAGAAAAAAAAACAAAGTGTCAACAAAAAAAAACATTATACAAAAAACATTGTACAAAAAACCAAAACCAATTGAACAAAAAAAAAGTAAAAATTAATTGAACAAAAAAAAAAAACCTAATACTAGAACAAAAAAGTGTGAACGAAACAAATTGAATTTTAAACATTGAAATAAAACAATACAAAAACAAAAAACAAAAATAAAACAACATCTTTTAATTAAAGAAAACATAAAAAAAGGTGAAATAAAAAACAGTACATATAAAAAAATATGTTCGGCTTTTGGATATCTTTTATCCAGTCAGTTCAATTACAAATAAGATAAATTCATTCATATTAGTAATTTCTAAGTAAGTTATGTAAATAATATAAATTAGTGAAATCCACGAGATTGCGAAATGTTAAACAGCTATAAAACACATATAATGTTAATTCAATACATTTTGATATTTAATATCGTATCAGTCAGTAGGAGATCATATGTAGCATAAAAATTTGTGTTTTTTTTTTCTGAGAAAAAATAAATATTAATAAAATATTTAAGTTTTAATATAAATACGGACTTATTTATTTAACAGTAAAGAAATCACCTTCAACGAACACCCCCTCCATAAATAAATAATAGTTCCAAAACGTCTTTTAGTGATTGTGGACTGATATTTTGTGGTTTGCTTATAAGTTCCCTCATAAGGCACTGAACTTGCCATCCAGCTTCGTTTTGATGTTCCACACTAATTTCCTCCATTTGCCCAGCAACAAAATTGCCCAACCATGCAAACTTTAATTTCTTCTTTTCAGATAAAACTTTCCTAAGTACATTTAGGCCATTTCTAAAATTATTCATTGTGTTCTGAAAAGAAAGAGCTGTTATTTACTTCCTACGTAATAATAAGTAAACAAAAAGTATCAGTCAACCGATCTTTTACAAAGGGAAAAGCAAAGCTTCTGAAGGATACAAGATTTACTTTAAGCTTCTTCTTTGGTAGTTCTTGGGTATATTTATAATCCTCGTTTACATCTTTCGCATGATCCTCGCACACATCTTCTACATGACCCTTGCTCACATCCTTTACAATGTGTTCCGGAACTGTGTTCTGAAAATGTAAGTACATAATAATTATATACATATATCATGACGCCTTTAGCGAAAACTTTCCTCAATGTTATGCGTTTTTAAGAGGCATAAATGATCATAGCACCATAGCTTAGGTGAATAGAGATAGCCATTTCCTGCGCCACTTTTCCTTGAGTTTGCGAGAAGCCTTTGGTCCTGCATAAATTGCACTCTTAAATTCCTCCATTTTCGCTGGGCCTCCTTTACATGTAGGGAACCATCATATTTTAACAATCCGTCCCCAACTTTTGACCATACTTGGGCCTTTTTAACCCTGTCCAAATACTCAGGGGAACGACAGTTATATAAACAGGGATGTTGTTGCACGTATACAGTTAGATGTTCTACAGCCTCATGAGTCCATTTCACTGCCACATTTTTTTCTATTTGCACTTTCTTAATACTAAACTATAATATAATTATATTATTGTCCTCTATATATTATTTTATTTTAATATAATGTTATTGTAATATATATATATATATATATATATATATATATATATATATATATATATTTTTTTTTTTTTTTTTTTTTTTTTTTTTTTTTTTGATTTCTTGCAGCACAATTTTTAAATAATTTTTCTATTGCCTGTGTACAACTCGAAATATAAAATGAAAAATGAAAAGAAATCAAAGAAATGACGTGCAGCCATCTTGATTTGAGAGTTACGAATTTAAGCACAAATAAAATTTTCAGATTACAGAAGGTTGTGTACATAGTGTCACCCCCTATACCTCTTACTATAAACTCATTTTCACATTAATGAAAATTTTCATAGTCTGACATAACTAACGTGACCATACGTCCCGCTTTGGGCGGGACAGTCCCGCTTTGAGGTTATCTGTCCCGCTGTCCCCAGCGAGAGCAAAAATGTCCCGCTTTCGAAAATACTGGATATTGATATTGATGAAAAATACATGAGTTATTTTTTTCCCCGTGAACATATAATTTATTTGCATAGTTTTTTTCAAGCAACATTAACATTAAAATTAACTCGAAAGATTTTGTAATGCTAATGCTGGAGTTAATGTCGACGTCGTCGACAGCGTCAAATTTCAAAAAAATTGAATCGTATGAAATTTTATGAGAGCAGTTAATCTTAACGCCGTAAGAAATTCGACGCCGAAAAAGTTCAATCTGTTTTAACTTTTTCGGCGTCGTCGACGGCGTTGACATTAACTCCAGCATAACAAGGGAAATCACCAAATTAAAAATGCTTATAAAAACAGAAAAAGTTTCTGTCACTCTGTCAGTACCCTAAGCATAGACGCTCTAAATTGTTCTGGTATCTTTTCATCGAGGAGTCGGAGAAGGCGAGCAAAGTCAAACAATTTATTTTCAATGTTAGTGATTGTAACATTACAATAATGCCTAAACGCAAGTGTACTTTTAACATTTCTTTGCAAAATAAGTATCCATTTATAAAACAAAGAAGTGGTGAATCAGACGTTACGTGTGAAAAATGTACTGATTTTAGTGTTGGACATGGTGGTGCCAGTGATATTGAGAATCATTTCAATCGGAAAAACAAAAGCTTTCTGATCAAGCTGCCGCTTCAAGCTCGTCAATGCTTTCTTTTTTTAAAAGAACAAATTTGGCGACTTCCAAAGACTTGGATATAGCTGCAGCGGAGGGTGCGTGGGAGTACCACACAGTGCAAGAAAACCACAGTTTTCGTTCGGATGACTGTGCTTCAAATCTAATACAAACATATTTTGAGCAAAAATTTAGATGTGCCCGTACAAAATCACAAGTGCTTCCAATCATGGCTCAAAAAATTATTCCCTGTTTTAGTTCGCTATTTTGTACCATACGAAGGCGTGAGAGTCAGGATTTTAGAGTTTCAAAAGCAGCCAGGCGAATCATCTGATATAATTGTGGATTATTTGAAAGAAGTATTATCTTGCAATGATTTGAATAAGAAAATTGTGGCATTTTGTGCAGACAATACAAACTGCAATTTCGGAGGAAAGAATAGAAAAGGGATAAATAATGTTTACGCGAAATTGAACCTATCCGTCGGAAGGCAGCTCATTGGGATTGGGTGTGGAGCCCATATAATTCATAATGCTATCAAAACAGCCGCAGATTGTCTCCCTGTTGACTTCGAATGCATCATTGTGAAAATTTATTTATTCTTCTACATCTACAGCATTCGGGTAGAAGTTCTGAAAGAGTTCTGTGATTCCACCGACACAGAGTATCAGAAACTGTTGGGCTACAGTAAAACAAGGTGGCTTGCTTTAATGCCGGCGCTTGAGAGAATTTTAAAGATGTTTCAGCCTTTGAAAACCTATTTTCTGAGCATAGATAAATGCCCTACTATTTTAAAAACGTTTTTCGAAAATCCCAGCTCTGAATTGTGGTTATATTTTTTGCACGCACAGACAGCGATTTTTCATCAAGCCGTGTTGAAAATCGAGGGACAAAACGTGTCCGCAATAGAGTCTGCGAATGTAATCAGCTCCATTCCTACTTGAAAACTAGACCCGATATTTTAAAACTAATTTGCTCTGCTGACAAATGGAGGGCTCACTGCTATACCGAACCAAGTTATGAAAAATAAAACAAACCGAAATTAGTGTCAATATCCCCGTATATGGAAACTCTGTTTACCCTGTAAAGAACAATGTCAAAAAGTATTTCGTTCCAAAGATGACGGCAAAAAACCTAAGTCAACGACTGTCTTCTTCGACTTTTTTCAAAGCAAAAATAAACCAAGTCACTCTGAATTAGTACTATTAGTGAGCACGTGTTTATTGTCGTTCAGTTTTCAGCAATATTAAAAAAATAGTGTTTTCTATAAATGGATAGTAATAATAGCAGTGCTAGTGATTTTTCCAGCAATGAAGATGAGGAATATTTGCCAGCCCCAAAAATGATGAAGACGGAAATGACGAATTTTTTATGTGTAAATATTTGTTTAAACCATGGTAAAATTAAGAATTTAAAGTCATTTCAAATAAGCATATCCATCTCTACATTTTGTGTAATTTACTCTGTCAAATTTCCCTGCCTAGGAAATCCATTAAAAATTCTGTTAAAATCTTAAAAATACCGAATGTAGCCGTATATTAGGGGTTATACGAAGACGTGGACCTGCACAGACAATTTGCAGTCATAGGCTGTAGTATTCATTACGAACTTCAAATACTAAATTTGAAATAGTTCCGGTAATAGTACCGCATATCGGGAGGTACCGTTATATGGGGCTATACGAAGACGTGGACCTACATGGCAGATTATCAATACCAAAAGTCCTGCAGACATAATACACATTTGAGTAAATTTGTATCAACTTACTTAATTTCGTTCGGATGCTAGAGTGATTTCCAAAGACGAACAGACGGACAGCCAGACGTACCTCGCTAAATCGACATAGAATTTTATGCTGATCAAGAATATATTATGGGTTCTGAAATGTATATTTCGAGGTGTTCCAAATGCAATTACAAACGTAATATACCCTCCATACTATGGTGAAGCGTATAAAAATGTTAACATATAATTGCATGACTTTACCCTCTTATTTCTACCATAGTTGAATCCTTTAATTTTCCTTTGTCCTTGTTAACATTAATTTATTTTTTTTTAAAAATCACAATGATTGTCAATTACAATAGAAGCACCCGCAGCTGCCAGCCGACAAACCAAGACATGACTTAAAATAAAACTCCGTAACTAGTGGGAAATTAATCGCTAAAGTTAACTATATTTAGTCATATAACGAAACTTTTATTTTATTTTTTGACTTGGTTCGCTTTAGCTGTGAAACCTTGAAATTTTATTCAGAGTAATAATGAACCAAAGTAGATTTTTTTGTTTTTGAATATTTTTTTTAGAAATATATGTAAATTATTATTATTTTAAATTAATATCATTAGTTAATTTTGAATATAGACTTTTACATTTTCTTTTGGTAGACTGAAATATTCCTTCCAGAAATTAATGGCAGTGCATTTACTTTACCTCTAAATATCTTCGAATTATGTTTTTATGACTTAGTTCGGTATAGCTGTGTGCCCTTCAAATATAAAACAAATACTTGACATAAGATTAATTTCATAAGTTAGATTTATACGTATTCTCTCCGTTTTTGAATAAAATTTGTTTTTAAATGCATAATTTTTTTTTTTTTTACAAAATTCCGCCGGCGTCCCGCTCTGACGAAAAATATAAATGGTCACATTAGACATAACACATACAGAAAATACTGTGTTAAATAAAGTATTGATTTCGGTCGGTTTTAAGATATGGACCTGACGTATTTGGGTAATACGGTCGTACAAAACATTTTACCATAGTGGGGAAGTTGAATATATGCGTGCGCCATGTCGAATTTCAGGCGACGCTTTATGATGTCGAAGAAGATAGCTAAACTAGTAGATTCTTGCCGGTTCTGGAACACAAAGACATGAAATTGTAAAGGCTGGACAAATCGCACTCTGAACAAATGGTTTGTGACTATACTATTTTGAATATTAGCTCATGACAGAGGCATGTTTATATAAAAAAAAACACAAACAAAAAAAACACAAAGAATGACAAATAAGAATTTGAACAATCCAAAAATTTGGTTTCAAAATTCTAATCCAGGGATCTTCCCAATTAATTGCATATTGCGTTACCGATTTAAATTGCTTAACATTGGTAAGTATGGAACAACTCTAGTTTAGTAAAAACTCTTCGATTTTTCGATTTTTTACAGAGGACGGACGGACCCCAGATTTTTGACCCGAAAGTCTGAGGTAATGATGGAGTGATTTTTAAGCGGTTCCGAAGTTATAGTCAAATTATTGATTTTTTGGACCCGGATTTTTTATAAAAACCCCAAAAAGTCGAAAAAGGGTCCATTGTGGGGGCCAACCAAATTGATGATAAATTATTAATGACACTCTTACTATTCCAAAATGATACAATTTGTGGTAATACCTTTTCTGGCTCAAAAAAGAAAAAAAATTCCGGGACCAGGGTTATAATACCTACGCCTGGAAAAAAGTTTTAAAACAATTGAATGGTTAAGCCCCTATCTTTATACTTCTATACTTTGTGGAACAGAGCAATAGTAGTTTCAAGGGAGGCAGAAAATATTTATGTTTTTATACGTTGTAGACTCGTAATTTTAAATCAACTCGATTTCTAGATCCAGTTTTCCTACTTCAAATATTTGTAAAGAAAGAATTGTTCTTATAACTCCAGTTTTTCTCCAATGTTGCTATAGGTACGAATTCAGAAAATGTTGGTGAACAAGATATGTATGTGTATATATATATATACCTCAACCTTCATAGACAATTTCTGTCACAGGCTGTAGCTTACATTACTAACTTCAAATAAGACATCTCAAACAATTTCGGTGAGTATTGTACCTAAAATCGTCAAAATACCGAATATAGGGAGGTACTGATATATGGGGCCTATACGGAAACCTGGACCTGCATAGACAATTTTCTGTCACAGACTGTAGTACCCATCACGAACTCTAAATACGTAATGAAACTACTACGGTGAATAATGACGCTAAAATCAGCAAAATACAGAATATTGGGAGGTAAAGTAATATGGAGGCTGTATGAAGACTTGGACCTGCATAGACAAGTTGCTGCCTTAGGCTAGTATTCATTAAGAAATTCAAACATCGAATTTGAAACAATTCCGGTGAATAATATCGCTAAAATCATCAAAATACCGAATGTAGTGAGGTACCATTATATTGGGGCTATACGAAGACGTAGACCTGCACAGACAATTTTTTGTCATAAGCTGTAGTATCCATTTCGAACTTAAAAACCAAATTTGAAACAATTCCGGTGAATAATGTCGCTAAAATCATCAAAATACCGAACATCGGGAGGTACCGTTATATGGAGGCTATTCGAAGACGTGGATCCGTCATAGGCTGTAGTACCCATTACGAACTTCAAATACCAAATTTGAATTTTCGGTAAATAATATCGCTTAAATCACCAAAATGCCGAATATCGGGAGGTACCGTTATATAAAGACTATGCCAAAACGTGGACCCACATGATTCATTTTCAATACCAAAAGTCCTGTAGACATTTGAGTAAAATTTTATCATAATACTTCATTACAAATATGGTCATAACCCCCCTCATGTAACAAGGATTATGCACAAAATAAAATCTGTCAAAACGATTGCGGACATTAACCCCAAATAATGGTAAGGCATTTTTAACCTGATCCCCTAATATGTATCCAACCTTTATAGCTTTTTTAAGGAACAAGTCTTCGGACAGGGCTTGAGATTTTCTTCTCTGGGGCATGTCCAACAACGGCTACGCAATCCATAGTTGGGCATAAATTAAGGGAAAACTGAAAATTATAAATGAAAACTACAATGTTAACTTTGTTTTCTTTCTCATTCGAGGTACCAAATGTTTGTATCGGCAAAAAAAAAAATTTGGCAAATGTCTTTCCAGCAGAATTTAAAATTAGAAAAATACAAAAATATATTCAAAATGTCAACATTTACACAAAACATTGAAAACATGAATGAAAATTGTAAAATTTATGATATAAAAAATCTTTGGGAGAAAAGCAATAATTTCTTCTATCCATATTAGTGATAATTTCATGCATTTTTGCATAAATTCCCATTAAAATCTACAAACAAAATTTTTGAAAAAAGGAATTATTCTACTTTGAATTACGAGTCGTGCCTAATTCTGAGAGCGAAGAACTTGATTGAAAGTGCTATGTGCTATATGCATAAGGCTATGTCTTTTACCGTAACAATGGTTCTATCGTTACCTACTTTAAAACATTTCAAATTAATCTTGATTGAGCGTTATATAAGTGATAATAGCCTTAAATATAAACATTTCCAAAATTTTGCAATGCATACTTACTTCGATTCCTTTATAACTCCATACGCTGCACGCAATCTTTCTTCAAAATCCTCCAGAGTAAAGTTTGGAGGTATAAAAACGCTTTTATTCGACAAATATTTACTGCATGTCGTTCCATTGTATAGTTGGCAAATGCCAACAGAAATCTGAAATTATAACACAGTTATGGATTCATATACTTTTTATAAGACAGTAGTTACCTCTTCCTTAGTTGAAATTCCAGAGCAAATTACTCTCATAAAGGTCCTAAAACAGGCGGGTATGTAAATATATTATATTCTTCATATGACTTATGCCAAAAGGGTTATTAAATACCAACCAAATGTCTATTAATAACAACATCCAAACTATGGCAATAGTACAAGCCCACATATTGAATATTTCAAACCCTAGTCTTGTTTACCGATACAACCCAAATTATCTATTTGCTGGCTTGCAATAAGTGTTAAATATGAGTTGTGTTCCAGTACTTTTTTAGTAGTAAAACTAGCAGAAGAGAGAACAGTTCAAAATGTTATTCTCATTTAGGTTTGCTCAAAAAATAAGGGAACGGAAAATTAGCAGATATGCGATAAAAAATTCCAAAAGTAAACAGCCTAAATCGGACTGGTGAAACCTTACTGAAAAGAGCGCCAACATTTAAAAAATGAGTATTGAAGACGATAGGTTAAAATTAATAATTTACAGCCTGTTCCACGATATCGAAAGAACACGTTCGCACAACTTTTACACGACAAACAGCTGATTTCCGTTCCACTAAAATCCATCAGAACGAAAATTTGCACGAAAATCAAAGCGAACGTAAACGTAAGCATTTCAGTGTAATTTTGCGTTCCACTATCTTTTTTCTTTCGTTCGCATGCGAACACAAATGTCAAAATCAGTCACTTGTGTCTTTGCTGTCGTATGATAACAATTAAGGAAAATTGTTTTAACATAAGCATTGCTTGATTGAAAATGGAAACAAAAATGTAAGTAAAAATAATAAATGCAATTTAAAATGTGAACAACAAATATATTTTTTTTATTTCCTAAATGCCAGCACGAAAAAATCAACTACACAGCTGCGGGCACTAGTTGAGTATATGTAGGAGAATCCTGAGTTCGCCAGAGGAGTGCCAATTTTTGGAAGCAGCATCATATCCATCATATCCAAAAGAGCCCGAAAAACTTCCTTCGACACACGAAAATTGGCCACAAACCTAGTAAAAATCATTGGTTATTATTTCAAAAATGTAAAAATACAATCATACTTACTGGTTGTTAGGTACTTCAAATAAATTCGAAGAATCTCTTAAATGCCTCCGTGGCACATTTTGAACCTCCTCCTCATCATCCATAAAAAATAGGGCTACAGAAATATTCATTTTTTTCTTTTTTAAGAACACAAATAATTTGAACACAATCACTAAAAATTTTGTTTTGTTTGTTTATTTACAATTTGTTTGAACTGTCAGTTGAGACACAGCCACTGCTGCTTTTTCGCGTTTAAATTAGACATATGGCGCTTTTTTTTGCTTTATTTTGCGATTAATTTTGCCAAAAAATATTTAGCAACACTGAATCACGTAAGGCTATGCGAAAGAAAGAACGAAAGTTAGTGGAACGCATTCTTATACGAAAGTGAGTGAGTAGCCTTCGTTCGCACAAATTTTCTTTCGAGATCGTGGAACAGGCTGTTATAATAATAATTAATAATCTGATTCCTCATTCAGCCAGTCCTCTTCACTGCTGGAATCGTCCAAAAGTGAATACATCAGTTGCTCCATATTTTCTCTTTTTGTTTTATGCACGACAAATATTAGTTTTTCCTTTAGTTTTCAAGTTGATCATTTTCTTTATTGAAATGTATGTATACATTTTCAACCTTGTTAGCCCTGCCAATTAAATGCCAAATTTACAATATGCACATTTCTGCTCGGCCAAATTCATGTAGCTAAAACAAGCAGAAATGTGCACCACTCAGCGCCATTTTTTTCTCGAGAGAGCTGCAAGTTTTGCTAGTTTTTGGAGTACGGGAACGCGTTGTAACAGAATTAGTGCTAATTAGTACTAATTTGCAGGTTCTGGAACACAACTATGGATGCAAACGTACATACATACACTGTTTTTCAACCCCAATTTAGCATCCAGCGTGCAACTAAACAATGTTGTCGACTTGTTTCTGAAAAACCGCACTAAATTTCTATTACACCGACACCCAATTTACGCTTTATACAACGCATGGTAGAAGAATATAGGTAGACGTGTCGACACAGCTGCTTGGACAATGAACTGTCAAACCAATTTTGGAATTGAAAATGTTGAATGAAAAATTAATTAAATTTGTAAAAATTGTTGAAAAACGCGAATTATAATAGCCTCCGCATATACGTATATGAACGTATATGAAAATCTACTTATATTTGAAAAAAAACATTTAAATTTTTTTGACATATCAATGCTCCCAAGCGTTGATGCATCTACCTGTATTCTTCTGCCATGATACAACGATTTTCCATTTTTTGAAGTTTTATCAAAATAAATGACAACCCGTGACACAATTACAGAAGGTAGAACAAAGCTACCTCCTCAATACATTTTTTTCTTTTGGTGCCCCTATTCTGTCAAAACATAGACACATTTTGTATATATGTGTGTATTGTTTTGAATAAACAATAAAGTTAGTTGATTTTTTCCAAATTAATATGAAAAATAAATGCATATTTCCGACGTTAATTTTCAACAAATAATCTTTCCATGCATGTTCTGTGGTTTGGCATAGGACATGGTATAATAACTGCAAAACTAACTGATTTGCATCAATTATAAAATTGTTTCAAATTTTACAATTGTAGTATTTCTAAAAACCACAGAAATGAATGGAAAGATTATTTGTTGAAAATAAACGTCGGAAATATGCATTTATTTTTCATATTAATTTGGAAAAAATATACAAAATGTGTCTATGTTTTGACAGAATAGGGGCACCAAAAGAAAAAAATGTATTTAGGAGGTAGCTTTGTTCTACCTTCTGTAATTGTGTAACGAGTTGCCATTTATTTTGATAAAACTTCAAAAAATGGCAAATCGTTGTATAAAGCGTAAATTGGGTGTCGGTGTAATAGAAATTTAGTGCGGTTTTTCAGAAACAAGTCGACAACATTGTTTAGTTGCACACTGGATGCTAAATTGGGGTTGAAAAACAGTGTATGTATGTACGTTTGCATCCATATTTAACACTTATTGCAAGCCAGCAAATAGATAATTTGGGTTGTATCGGTAAACAAGACTAGGGTTTGAAATATTCAATATGTGGGCTTGTACTATTGCCATAGTTTGGATGTTGTTATTAATAGACATTTGGTTGGTATTTAATAACCCTTTTGGCTTTAGTCATATGAAGAATATAATATATTTACATACCCGCCTGTTTCAGGTCCTTTATGAGAGTAAATTGCTCTGGAATTTCAACTAAGGAAGAGGTAACTACTGTTTTATAAAAAGTATATAAATCCATGACTGTGTTATAATTTCAGATTTCTGTTGGCATTTGCCAACTATACAATGGAACGACATGCAGTAAATATTTGTCGAATAAAAGCGTTTTTATACCTCCAAACTTTACTCTGGAGGATTTTGAAGAAAGATTGCGTGCAGCGTATGGAGTTATAAAGGAATCGAAGTAAGTGTGCATTGCAAAATTTTGGAAATGTTTATATTTAAGGCTATTATCACTTATATAACGCTCAATCAAGATTAATTTGAAATGTTTTAAAGTAGGTAACGATAGAATCATTGTTACTGTAAAAGACATAGCCTTATGCTATGTTCTCATTGCACTTTCAATCAAGTTCTTCGCTCTCAGAATTAGGCACGATTCGTAATTCATAGTAGAATAATTCCTTTTTTCAAAAAATTTGTTTGTGGATTTTAATGGGAATTTATGCAAAAACGCATGAAATTATCACTAATATGGATAGAATAAATTTTTGGTTTTTTTTTCCCAAAGATTTATTATGTCATAAATTTTACAATTTTCATTCATGTTTTCAACTTTTTGTGTAAATGTTGACATTTTGAACATATTTTTGTATTTTTCTATTTTTAAATTCTGCTGGAAAGACATTTCCCAATTTTTTTTGCCGATACAAACATTTGGTACCTCGAATGAGAAAGAAAACAAAGTTAACATTGTAGTTTTCATTTATAATTTTCAGTCTTCCCTTAATTTAAGCCCAACTATGGATTGCGTAGCCGTTGTTGGACATGCCCCTGTCCGAAGACTTGTTCCTTAAAAAGCTATAAAGGTTGGATACATATTAGGGGATCAGGTTAAAAATGCCTTACCATTATTTGGGGTTAATGTCCGCAATCGTTTTGACCGATTTTATTTTGTGCATAATCCTTGTTTCATGAGGGGGGTTATGACCATATTTGTAATGAAGTATTATGATAAAATTTTACTCAAATGTCTGCAGGACTTTTGGTATTGAAAATGAATCATGTGGGTCCACGTTTTGGTATAGTCTTTATATAACGGTACCTCCCGATATTCGGCATTTTGGTGATTTAAGCGATATTATTCACAGAAAATTCAAATTTGGTATTTGAAGTTCGTAATGGGTACTACAGCCTATGACGGAAAATTGTCTATGCAGGTCCACGTCTTCGAATAGCCTCCATATAACGGTACCTCCCGATGTTCGGTATTTTGATGATTTTAGCGACATTATTCACCGGAATTGTTTCAAATTTGGTTTTTGAAGTTCGTAATGGATACTACAGATTATGACAAAAAATTGTCTGTGCAGGTCTACGCCTTCGTATAGCCCCAATATAATGGTACCTCACTACATTCGGTATTTTGATGATTTTAGCGACATTGTTCACCGGACTTGTTTGAAATTCGATGTTTGAATTTCTTAATGAATACTAGCCTAAGGCAGCAACTTATCTATGCAGGTCCAAGTCTTCTTACAGCCCCCATATTACTTTACCTCCCAATATTCTGTATTTTGCTGATTTTAGCGTCATTATTCACCGTAGTAGTTTCAAATTACGTATTTAGAGTTCGTGATGGGTACTACAGTCTGTGACAGAAAATTGTCTATGTAGGTCCAGGTCTTCGTATAGGCCCCATATAGCAGTACCTCCCTATATTCGGTATTTTGACGATTTTAGGTACAATACTCACCGAAATTGTTTGAGATGTCTTATTTGAAGTTAGTAATGTAAGCTACAGCCTGTGACAGAAAATTGTCTATGAAGGTTCAGGTCTTCGTGTATCTCCGATATCACGGTACCTCCCTATATACTAGCCCAATATAATGGCTATATTTGGTATTTTTAAGATTTTAACAGAATTTTTAAAGAATTTTATTTTTTGAAATTTTTCTAATTCGTTCCAAATTGTGGAGGGTATTCAAAGTTCTGTCCGGCCGAACTTACTGCTTTTTAACTTGTTTTATTTAATTTCATTAGGAGTTGTCCTGCTTGTGGCAACCCAAATAAATTTAAAATTCGTCAAAAACTAGCTGGCCCGGCTTGCGTTGCCGCCCTCTTACTTTTAGTCTTTAATGCATATTTTTGAAGCGCAATAAATCACAGATCTGACTATAAGTCACAATTTTTACGAAAATAAACACTCAAGCATTATTAGATATTTTAAATAACCTGTCAGTCATAGGCCTTAATTTGAGTGTAAAAAACCTATATGATAAAGAATATCTACATACAATAGCCCCATGTGAAAACTCAGCACAGTTGGTATTGTAAAGAGCTTAGAAACGGTTTGACATTTCGGTGTTTATTTCATATAGACCTACATCCCAAATCTACGTTCCGAACCAATTGTAAATTGTATGCGAAGAGGTTTTGTATCCCCTTTAGAAACAAAGTTGCCAAGTAAGGGCCAAAAAATGAAAAGAGGCCAAGAGCCTGAAAATAGCTTAAAACATATGATGGTTATACCAAAACGAGATAATTTTTTGCAAGGATGGTTTCTTTTCAATTTACCAACACTTGGCGAAATTAGTATGAAAAATATGGTTAAGATGTAAAATATACTTGGAATCGGGTTGTACACTTATCCGGGAGGTTATGACCCATATCGTGACGTGTAAAAGCGATTTAAGGTATCTTGAAAGTTAAAGAAGAAATCATTTTCTTAATGTCCAATTCGCTCTACTATGTTGCACCCTTTATATTCGGTATTTCACTGATTGCAGTCCCAATGGTTTTTGCATTTTGAGTTCTTATTGGACGGATTATTGTCATGTATCCTTCACATAATGAGATGGAGCTAATATATGCGATATATATTCACCTCTACGTCGATTTTCACAAAATTTGTCGGAGGCATTTGTAACTCTCGTACCGAACGACATTGCTATAGAGTGTATGATATGAAAATGATTATATTAAAATCTATATATCTGAGAAATATACAGGGTGAGATGAAAAAACTCATAGGTCCACGTTTTAAAATGAGCCCCATAACGCTTTGTCGGTCATTTGTGTTTGTTTAACCCTTTCAGTGTTTTTGTCAAATATATTTGACATTTAAAAGTACTCTCTTTCTTTGCCATTTTTTGTTTTTCTTACGAACCGTTATTTTTGATATTTTTTAATAACAGACACGTACGCTATTTAAAAATACTGCAGTTCTATTCTATTAGTTTCGTTTTCGAATTTCTGAGCACATTTTAGTAAATTAGTACGGAATTTCAGATTTTTATCTCGACAAAAATTTTCATTGACACTGAAAGGGTTAAATGTGTTCGCTAGTTAATAGTTAGATGCCCATTTTAGATATAAAAGATGGCTATTTAATATCGTATTGGGAACTCGTTTCATTTTTAATATTATTCAGAATTCAAAACAACAAGAAATTAACACTTCAATATAGTATGTCAATTTGAAAAAAATTTATGCCAAAAAGATATTTTTCAATCACATTTTTATTGGCATATTTTCACGCAATTTTTTTGCCAAGTTTTTTCCGTTATATGGGGGAGTTTCGATTACGAATTTCAAATACGAAATTCCGGTAAATAATATCGCTAAAATTATTAAAATAGCGAGTATCGGGAAGTACTGTTATATGGGGGGCTATGCGAAGAAGTGGACCTGTATTCGAAATTTTTTATCATAGGTTGTAGTACCCATTAAGATATTCCAATACGAAATTTGAAACGATTCCGGGTGTTGTTTTTGTAGCAGTAGTGCATGTGTGTGTTTGTGTTCTGCTAATCTGGTTCCAGCTCCAGGTTTAGAAATTCGGCTACTTTAACGGGCTGTAGCCAGAGATCCTCTGGAGTGAGTTGGGTAGGTTTGGCTGAGCAATTAAAAAGGTGTAGCGTATTGTGCGGGCCTGTATCGCACGCCGGGCAGGCGTCACGCACATCTTCATCAATTCGTGCCCAATACGAATTGAGGCGACTACACCATCCTGAACGTAATTGCGCCAAAACTACCCTGGTTTGTCTAGGCAGCTGACGTTCTTCGGCTGCAATGGATGGGGGGTGGACTCCGAGGACGGCATTCACTTTATAACTGCTCATAGCATCCTCGACTGCATCGGTGTGAATGCCACTCAGACCTGCCTGATAGGCTTCTTGATCTAGAGGCTCTCTCTTGTAGCGCTGGACCTCCCTCTCTAGATCATGTATGTCCTTCCTGACACGCCTGGGTGGGGGAGAGTTATCCACCATATGATGGTTGGGATGACTCTCACGGTAACACCCAAGCAGGTACTGCAACGAAAGCATATGATTATGCTGACGTAAGGGAAGGACTTTCGCCTCCTCATGTAGATGGTCCACTGGTGTCATGAGGAGGCACCCTGTCGCAGTTCTCAGGGCAGCGTTCTGGCAGGTCTGGATATTCTTCCACTGCGTAGCACTAGTATTCGCAGACCACACTGGAGCCGCATAGTTGACCACAGACCGACCTATCGCGTTATAAGAGGTCAACAAGGTTTCTTTGTCCGTACCCCAAGAGCTGCCGGCTTGCGCCCTGAGGACCTTGTTCCTACTTTTCATCTTGTCGCAGATAGCTGTGACTTGCGCGGACGACTTGAACATGCTGTCGAACGTTACCCCAAGAATCTTGGGGTAGTTCGTGGTCGGTATTAGATTCCCCTCGACCTGAACATTCAGCTGTGTTCTCATCTCCGCAGACCATGTGGTAAAGAGTGTGGCCGTTGATTTCGTGGCGGATATTTTCATATTCCTCGCGTGGAAGTATGCGGCAAGCTCCGCGAGATAGGGGTTCAACCTTTCGCATATGTCATCGACCACTGGACCCGACGCCATGATCGTATTATCATCCGCATACGTTACGATCTCAATGCCGTCTGGAGGGCGAGGAATTCCGGAAAGGTAGAGGTTAAACAGTTCCGGAGATATCACCCCGCCTTGGGGAACTCCCTGTTTCACTCTACGGTCTTTGGACTTCTTGTTCCGGAATTCCACTTACGACTGGCGTCCACACATATAGTTGATTATCCAACGTTTCAAACTTGGCCGGAGGGTAGTTCTCTGTACATCCTCAAACAGTGTGGCATGATTTACCGTATCAAATGCCTTTGATAGGTCAAGGGCTACCAACACTGTTCTGTCACACGGCCTGTTCTGGTTCAGTCCTCTACTAATATGTGTGGAAATGGCGTGTAATGCTGTT